GGGGGGGGGGGGGGGATGGAGATGGATGCGCACCGGCGTCAAAGGTGGGCGGCTTGTAGCCCTCTGTGGACGTTGCCTGCCATGCCTGCCATGCAGACTGCGGCATCATGTGGTAGATGGTGCTGGGATTGGCCATGGCTGCGGACAGAGTTGAGTGAGTCGGACTGTGGACAGAGGGTGTGGCGCACGAGCCGGGCGCACGAGCCGGGCGTACGAGTTGGGCGTACGAGCCAGGCGTACGAGCATGGCGTATCCAAGTGCGGAACACTCTGATTGCCCCGATGGCCCGCCCCGAGGACCCGCCCCGATCGGTTGTCCCCATCTCCATGGCCACCACCACCACCACCACCACCACCACCACCACCACCACCACCACCACCACCACCACCACCACCACCACCACCACCACCACCACCACCACCACCACCACCCCACGCCCCCGCACCTCTTTGCCATGGCAAGCGAGCCGCCCGCATTCAGCTACTTCCTCCAGTCCGATACCCTCTCCTGTGCAGACGGAGTCTCTGTCCCGGTCACCGCCCTTGCCGAGCTGACACCTGTGCCTGCTGCGGCAGTGGCCGAGCAGAGCGTCGCCAAGTCGTCGTCAGACGCCGGGGCGTGGTGGGCCACAGCCGTCCTCCCGCGGAGCACCATCCTCGAGGCCAGATCGCACATCCTTCACAGACTGGCTGTCGCAGGTGTTGTTGATGCTGCCGCAGGTGGCCCGCTGACCGGATCGCTGGCAGCTGGCGCCGACGAAGCCGCCGCAGCTGCCATCATGGCCGATACCGCCGAGACCCTGCCTGTCGCCAACGTTGTCTTTGCTCGCGCGCTCTGGCAGCTCGCTGCCGATGCTCTCGGTGTTGGCATCGACGATGTCGTCGCTCTGCCCGAACGCGAGTACGACATCGGCGCCGTCCCGCGCTGGTCCTTTGAGGGCGGGTGCGCTGCTCCTGGCGAGCCGCAGGCGCCGGCAGACGGTGGGATCCGGATGTGGATCCCACTGGGAAACGTTGCTCCACATCAGGGCGCGGTGCTTGTTGCCGCCGAGCCGGACAACTGCGGCGCTGGCTGGCTCTCAGCCTCGTTCGACATGGGCGATGTCGTCGTCCTCTCCTCAGCCGCCAAGGCCACTCGCGCCGCCAACACCACCGGACGGGCCTGTCTCTCGCTTGTTCTCTGCTTTGCCACCCGCGTCTCGCTCGGTGACGCCCCGCTGATGGTCATCGACGCCGATGTCGCCGCCTCGCTCCTTGACGACGCCATCGCCGCCGCCCGCGCCGCCGCCGCTGCCGACCTCTCCTCTGACGACGACCTCCCCGTTCGCCCTGGTGACTTTTCCTCCTCTGACGACGATACCCCGCTCATCGCACCGGGCTCAGCCATGTCCGGCGCACGAAGGCTGTTCGAGTGATCGGCCGCCACCACCGCCGACCCACCGCCATCGCCACCGCCATCGCCTTCAATCCGATCCGCACCTGCCCTAAACACCCCCCTCGCCCCCCTCGCCGCAGACCCGGTCCCTGTGGCCCCTCCCTTCACCGCCGTCTAGCTTCGGCACCGACATCTGCATCGCAGCGGCAGTGGTGCCGACTCGCGGCACAGGCACACGGACGAGGAGAACGACCACGACCACCACCCCTCCAGCACCATGGCGGACAAGATGCGGAGTGTGTGGCGGTGTGCGGCAGCAGGCTCTATTGACAACGTCGAGCTGGTGGACGAGCCGCTGGAGGCTCTGCGTCCGGGCGAGGTCCGTGTCCGAGTCACCGCTGTCGGCTGCAACTTTGCCGATGTCTTTGCCATGCAGGGCCTGTACTCGGCCACGCCCGAGGGCGCCTTCATCCCTGGCCTGGAGATCGCCGGCGTGGTTGAGGCCCTCTACTCTCCTTCCGAGCCGGCGAGCAAGCCCATCGCTGCAAATGGTGGCAATGATGACGATGATGGTGACAATGGCAGTGGCCATGAGCCCGGTCATGAGGTGGTGTGGAGCCGGGGCGTGGCCGACTTTCGCACCATCGGCTCCATCACCACCACCCTGCCGGCACAGCCGGTAGAGGCGGCGAGCTTGAAGCGAAAGCGCGCAACGAGCGCTGGTGAGCGTAGTACAAGCAAGCGGCAGAAGGCGCTGGCGGGTGGTGCCGTTGCAGCCGCTGCTGGGGTTGGGCACGATCTGGCGGTCGGCGACAGCGTCATGGGCGTCGTCCGGTTCGGCGGCTACGCGTCGTATGTCAACGTCGAGGCGCAGCGGCTGCAGCGGCTGCCGGTCGGGTGGGAGGCGAAGCACGGGGCAGCGTTCCCGGTCCAGGCCTTGACCGCCTTCTACGGCCTGGTCGAGATCGGCGGTATGCGGCTGCCGGGCACCGAGGGACTGGCGGCGTCGCTCCCTCAAAAGTCGGTCCTCATCCACTCGATGGCCGGCGGCGTAGGCCTTGCGGCACTGCAGGTCTGCCTTGCTCTCGGCGCGCCGTGCGTGGGCACGGTTGGCGCGGCTTGGAAGAAGGACTGGCTCCTCGATGCGTATCCTCAGCTCGCGCCGGAGCAGATCATTGTCCGAACCTCGCCGGGCGCTTTCGAACGGCAGCTCGACTCGGCGCTGCGGAGCAAAGAAGTTTGCCGTGCAGCAGGCGTCGACATTGTCTTTGACGCCATTGCCGGGCCGTGGACCAAGCCGGCAATGGCCAAGCTGGCCCCGATGGGGCGGTACGTCATCTTTGGCGCAGCCTCGTTTACGCCCTTGGGCCCCACGCCGTCGTACCTCAGCCTCGGGCTCAAGTACCTGACGCGGCCTACCATCGATCCGATGGAACTCATCTCGTCGAACCATGCAGTCATGGGCTTCAATCTCATCTGGCTCTGGTCGCAGCTCGAGTACCTCTCTGCGGTCAAGGACGCCATGATGGAGCACGTGCCCTGGCGGGCGCCGAAAGTCACTACCTATCCGTTTGCGGACATGAAGGCCGCAATCGCTAAGTTTCAGGCTGGCAAGACGGTCGGCAAGGTGGTGCTCGAGCCGGTGCATCCCGAGCTCTAACGCGAGGGGGCCTTCCTCATCCAAGCCCCACATCGAGCGACATCATGACGACAAAGCCGGCGATGGCGCCCCACGACGCGAGCCGGGCGTTGCCGGCTGATGCAGCCTCGATGACAATGTCGTCGACAACAACAAAGATCATGGCCCCGGCAGCAAAGGCGAGCGCGTACGGCAGAATCGCCTGTGAGAGGATGTAGGCAAAAGCGCCGAGGAGGCCAAAGACTGGCTCGACCATGCCCGACGCCTGGCCCCAGAAGAAAGCCCGCCACGGCGACATGCCGGCCCGGAGGAGCGGGAGCGAGACCGCCAGCCCCTCAGGCCAGTTCTGGATGCCGATGCCGAGCGCGAGCGACTGCGCCGACGCCAGCGTCGCTTTGGGCGATCTCCCCACCGCCGCAAATCCCACACCAACCGCCATGCCCTCGGGCGCGTTGTGGGCCGTGATGGCGATGAGCAGCAGCAGAGTCCTCCGCCAGGACGCACTAGCCGCAGAACGTGCATCAGCCGCTGCTGTCACTCTCGCCACTTGGCCATGGCCATCGCTTTGCTTCTTGCCTGCCCGACTCCGAACCGATGAAGCCGACGAGCTTCGCGAGACTGCTGACGAGACGCCCTCGCCGGCACCGAGGCCAGCATCAGCATCGGCATCAGCACTAGCATTGTGGTCATCGTGGCCGGTCGGAGCCAGCAGGCCGTCTGGGAGGACAGCATCGACCGCAGCGACAAAGGCAGCGCCGAGTGTGAAGCCGATGGCGACGGGAACAAAGGCAAACGCGCCGTCTTGACCATATGCACCAGACTCTTCCGCCAGTTCGATGGCCGGGGCCAGGAGCGACCAGAAGGAGGCGGCGATCATGACGCCGGCAGCAAAGCCCAGGCCGACGTCGAGGACCTTGCGGAGAGTGGCCTGTGGAGCCGAGGCCGGGACGGCAAAGACCACCGCTGCGCCGAACGCCGTCAAGCCCCACGTGAGAAGCGTGCCAAGCAGTGCCTGTGTCACAGGGTGCGCGCCTTCGATCATGCCGGTAGAGGTGAGTGAGGTGGTCCCCCCGTGGCGGTCGACTGTGGCGGTGGTCGCGGCGGGTGCGGACACCGCGCCAAGGCCAAGACAGCTGGCTGAGCCGACTTCAAACGATCGCCCTACCTGTTGCCTGCCATGGACCACCCCTTCCACTCCACCTTGTATCCCCCCCCCCCCCCCCCCACCACCACTCATCGCCATGGATCGCCCTACTACAGCCTGCTGACTGCCACCGATGATAGCCTGATGTGGCGCGCAAGTCGCCATCGGGCAGTCTCCACACTCCCCTGCTGATCGCCATCGAGCACCCCCCCCCTACCCCTTACCCCCCCCCCCGGTCATCGCCATGGATCGCCCGTCCTACTACAGCCTGCTGACAGCCATCGATTGGGTCGGATGCACGGCTGGGGCTGTCGGGCGGTGGTGGCACATGACAGCAGCAGGCGAGCAGAGGGGACCTGGTCGGGAACACGGCAGACTGCACTGGAGCAGACCAAGGAGGCGGGCGGCAGGGGAGTGGCACCAGACAGAGCATGCACAACGTGTTTGGAGCCGGTGACTCGCTGTTTGCCTCGGACTCGGGCGAGGGCAGCGGTGGCGGAGATGTGGATGATGTGTTTGGCGAGTTTGTGGCCAAGCGGAGGGCGAGGAAGAGCAAGACGGCCGAGGCCGTGGCCAAGCGTGGTGGTGCAGGCAAGGGCAAGGCGGCTGGTGGGAAGAAGGCTAAGACACGGCCTGCCAAGGGCTTGTTTGCTGACCTGGGCCCAGACGGCGACACGGCGGACGCTATCGATGATGTTTTGTTTGGCGGCGCACATGGTGGGCTCGACGACGGGGATGGCATCGACGACTCGCCCGGTGGTCTGTTTGCGCCTGCGGCTGGCGCAGGCCTTGCTGGTGCAAGTGATGATGGGGATCGCGACCTTCCCACCGATCCGGTCGAGCGGCGGAAGGAGCTGCGGAGGCGCAAGGCCGAGCGCGATCGCATCAAGGCCGAAGAGGAGGCCAAAGAGATCGAGAAGGGTCGCCTGGCGCGGAAGAAGAAGCGGGATGCAGCTGCAGCAAAGCGCAAGGCTGAGGCGGCGGCCGTGGCTGCTGCGGCTGCCGCTGAGGCGGCCGAGGCCACTAAGAACATGTCTGCCCGCGAGAGGCTGGCCCAGGCCAAGGCTGCCCGCGAAGATGAGGCCACTGCGCCTGCCGACGAGGCTGACGACCTCATTGCGGACGTGCTGGGCAAGAAAAGCTCGCTTGCCGACAAGCCAAGCTCCAAGTCGAGCTCCAAGAAGCGTGCTGGGCTGATGGACCCGGCCGAGCGGGCCGAGGCGAGGCGGGAGCGGGCGGCGTCCAAGCGGGCCGGGCTGCGGGTGCGGTCGGACTCGTCGTCCGACTCGTCATCATCGGTCTCATCGGCCGTCATCGAGGCCCGCGCAGCCGAAATGGCGGCCAAGGCCAAGGCCAAAGCCAAGGCCAAGGCCAAGGAGAAGGCTGCCAGAGCTAAGGCCAAGGCCAAGGAGAAGGCTGCCAGAGCCAAAGCCAAGGCCAAGGCTGCCAAGGCCGAGGCCAAGGCTGCGCGAGCGCGGGCGAAGGAGGCCGAGCGCCGCGCCGCCCGCATCGGCCACGTTGTTCACGAGTCGGAGAGAAGGTCGCGGGCCAGGGGCAAGCGGATCCGTGGCTCGCAAATGCGCGACGACCCGGGCTCGGTCTCGTCGGGCGAGGAGGCCAAGGCTTCGATCCGCGACCGGGTGCGGGCCAAGCGCGAAGCGCGCCGCCGCGCTGCAGGTGTCCAATCTACAGGCGGAAGCGAGCGCGAGGCAGGCAAGACCAAGGCCAAAGCCAAGGCCAAGGCCAAGGCTGATATCCCCTGGCCACCGTCGTCTGTCCCGTATGTCCGCATCGACGCCGACGGTGAGCGGCTGCCCAAGCACTGGCGGATGGGCATTGATCCTGCGACTGGACAGGAGTTCTACTTTCAGACCAAGACGCTTGTACGGACTAAGCGCCGGCCGATCCGTATGTACGATGCGTGAATGAGTGAATGCCCGGTCCCCGGAGCGCATGGACCAGCCCGTGATGAGCACGGCGTGACAGGCGAGCGAGAGATGGAGCGGAAGTGGAGTGCGAGAGGCCAGACTCATCGCTCTGTAGCTCTAGGCGGAGACCGAGCCAGCCGAGGTCCCATCCCCCCCCCCCCCCCGCCCCTCCTCGCCCTCCCTCCCTCCCTCCCTCCCTCCCTAGTGTGTGGTGCTGGACAGCTGTGGTGGCATGGCTATGCAGGCGCCCGAGGTGCCTCGAGGGACGCAGGTCTCGGGGACGGAACAGACCCACATTGGGAAGAAGCTGAAGACCGTACGCACCGAGGAGAGGAGGTAGGCAGAGGGGGAGGGGGGGGGGGGGGGGAGGGGGTACTCACAGGATTGACCTGGGGGGTCCTTGTCCTCGTCGTTGTTGTTGGCCTGGCTGTGGTCGGTCTTCCTGCTCGTCGTCCTCGTCGTCGTCGTCGTCGTCATGGTCGTCATGCGTGTGCGTTTGATGCCTGTGACTGCGGTCTTGGTCGTCGTCCTCATCGTTCTCAACGTTCTCATCGTCTTTGTCTTCAACTTTCTCGTTGTCCTTGCACATTGGGTCGCTATCATCGCCGCCCGTGATCGTGGTCGTGATCGTGATCGTGATCGTGCCTGGTCGCGACTCGGCCGCAACACAGTTGTACGTGCTCGAGGTTGAGACCGACCGTGGCGTCATCCGCCGCAAGTACCGCTACTCTGAGTTCCACGCGCTGTACAACGCGCTAAAGGACAAGAACATCCCGGGCTTTCCTTCGAGCTTCCCGTCAAAGAAGGTGTTCCACTCGGCAAAGACGCTCGAGCGCCGCCGCATCGGCTTCCAGCGGTTCATTGCCCAGCTGCTCTCGCTGCCGGACATACTGCTTCACGACGAGTTACGCTCGTTCCTCGGCCTTCGGATGGTGAATCCGGGCGAGCCGCCGTCGCCGACCAAGCCTTCGCCCGAGGGCAAGCATCGGTCGAGCCGGCTCGCCACCGGCTCGCCCAAGTTCCGCAGCAAGCGCAGGGACGACGGTGCGGCTTCGTCCGACTCGGCCTCATCGTCGTCGGCAGCGACCGGGCGGCCCAAGGTCCCGGCGCGGTCGCGTGCCCCCTCGATCTCGTTCTCGGGTGATGAGGGCGGTGGATCGTCTGCCAGCGGCATGCCGCGTGCCCGCGGCTGGTCCGCGCTCGAGGACGACCTCGGTGCCATCGAGGCCGGTGTGGCAGTGGTTCAGGCCAAGCGCGCGGCGATGGCGCCGCCGCCGCCGCCGACCTCGGCCCGCGCCTCGCGCGCTATCTCGCCCGCGTTCATCGCTGACCTCGACACGCAGCTTTCGGTGGGCTGTGCCCCGCCGTCGCCTGACGCCGCACTCCTGGCCTCGCGCGCGCTGCTCGCCGACCTCCTCGACGACGCCGCCGGCGACGACGAGTTCCTTGACATGACCGACCCATCGTCGTTTGACTTTACCTCAGACGACGAGGGCTCGCTCCTCGGCCTCGACACCGACTGGTCGGGCATCGGCCACGAGCTCAACATCTCGGCGACGTCGCCGCTGGTGCTCTCAAGCGACGACGCCGAGTCGCAACACGGCCCTGTCCCGCATCTTGCTTCCGATGCCGATGCCTACGAGGCCTTGCTGCATGAGGTCCCACTGCCGGCCGAAGCCGACCCCAAGGGCGTGCTGGACCTCGTCACCGCTTTTGCCGACTTTGCCGCATGGCCCAACGCCAACTCGGCCATTACCGAGGAGTTTGGCAAGATTCCGCGCGACTTGCAGTCGCTGCATGGACTCAAGGGCGCGCTGGAGGACAACGAGGAGTGTCTCCCGCCCGAGCTCGAACCGCAGCTAGCGGCCTTCCTTGCCGACGTCGCCTTCCGCACCCCAGCAGACGTCGCGGCGTGGCGGGCCGAGCAGGGGCTGGCACCGTCTGCGTCACCGCCTCGCCGCCGCCGCGCCTCGTCCATTCTACGCTCCTCGATCGTCACCTCGCTCCACCGCTACATCGGAGCCTTTCAGGCGGCATCCAAAGCGCTCGACGTCCACGCCCGCACCGCCTCCCTCGCCTCGGTCCGTGACCTGCTCAAGGTTGTCGTCGAGGCCATCAACGGTGCGGCGGCCTGCCTCGTCGAGCTCGACCACCCGGAGATGATGACCGCCGACGAGCTCAAGGCACCCGCCGCCGCCCTCCTCCGCGCCGCCCGGCCGCTCTTTGACGCCGCAGACGACTACCACGCCGTCACACCGCCGTTCACCGCCGCACACGCCCAGCTCAAGGCCGTCGTCGCCAACCTCGTCGAGGAGGCCAACACCTGGTATGCCGTCGACTCGCTCGCCGTCTCCACCCTCGCTCTTGCCCGTGACGACCTCTCCCCGCACTCGCAGCGGCTCATCGACACTGAGCGCATCACCCGCGTGCGCCTCTTGTCCTCGAGCAAGGCGGCCCTCGTCACCGTGTAGCGCCCCCCCCCCCCCCCCCCCCCCCCGTCGATGAGCCAGTCCGTGGCCATCGGTCATCGGTCGTTGTTCACCCGTTCGCGTGGCCGCAGAAGCTCCGTGGCCATGACGCCACCGCTCGTGATGACGTGACACGTACGCCACCTGAATCAAAAGCGATCGCCCACGCCATACCACCCGACCCGCGGCTGACAAGGACCCCCCCCCCCACACACACACACACACGCACATACACGCATATATATACACACTCGACAGCCAAGACCCAACATGGCAGCAGTGGCAGCCCACGCACTCGAGCTCTCGATGGAGGCAGCTGAGAACGGAACAGGTGGTGGTGGCGGTGGTGGAGGGGGCGACCACAGCTCGCCGGCAGGCACTCCGCGTCCTTCCAAGTTTGCGCCGGCCGAGTTCCGGTCGGCTTCGGTGAGCGTGATTGTTCTGGGCGCATCTGGAGATCTGGCCAAGAAGAAGACACTGCCGGCGCTGTATGGGCTCTTTCTTAGGGGTCTCCTCCCGGCAGAGGCTGCTGTGGTTGGCTACGCGCGATCGGATCTGTCGAGAGCCGACTTTCATGACCGCATCTCGCCCAATCTGGAGAAGGTCGATGGCTCGTCCGACGACTCGCTTGCCGTCTTTCTCGGTCAGTGCCACTACGTTTCCGGTCAGTACGACTCGTCCGAGGACTTTGCCGCTCTTCATGATGAGCTCATCCGCCTCGAGGACGAGGCCGGCGCCAGCGAGTCTGGCGAGGCCCATCGCCTCTTCTATCTCGCTCTCCCGCCCAAGGTCTTTGCCAGCGTCTCGGCCACCTTTGAGCCCGTGGCCATGTCACAGCGTGGATGGAACCGGGTGGTGGTGGAGAAGCCGTTCGGCCGTGACTTGGCGTCGTCGAATGAGCTCGTCGCTGCGCTCGCAGAGACCTTCACCGAGGACCAGCAGTTCCGCATCGACCACTACCTCGGCAAGGAGGCCGCGCTCAACATGGTTGTCTTCCGCTTTGCCAACCTCACCTTCCAGCCGCTGTGGAACCGCAACTACATCTCGACGGTGGAAATCACCTTTAAGGAGCCGTTTGGTACCGAGGGCCGTGGCGGATACTTTGACGAGATCGGCATTGTCCGCGACGTGATGCAGAATCACCTGCTGCAGCTCCTCGCTCTCACCGCCATGGAGCGCCCGATCTCGCTCTCGGCCGAGGACGTGCGCGACGAAAAGGTCAAGGTCCTCCGCTGCATCGAGCCGCTCACCCTCGACGACATCCTCATCGGCCAGTACGTGGCCAACGAGGAGACCGGCAAGCCCGGGTACACCGACGACGACGGCGTGCCCGACGACTCGCGCTGCGCCACTTTTGCCACCGCTGCCTTCAACATCCGCAACGAGCGCTGGGACGGTGTCCCCTTTATCATTCGCTGCGGCAAGGCCCTCAACGAGCGCAAGGCCAACATCCGCATCCAGCTCCGCGACACCCCGGGCCAGCTCTTTGGTGACGCAGCCCGCAACGAGCTCGTCTTCCGCATCCAGCCCTCGGAGGCCATCTACCTCAAGGTCATGGCCAAGAAGCCAGGCCTCGGCGACGAGCTCGTCCAGACCGAGCTCGACCTCACTTACCACTCGCGCTTCCCCTGCGAGACCATTCCCGACGCCTACGAGCGCCTGCTGTACGACGTCCTCCGCGGCGACCGCTCACACTTTGTTCGTGCCGACGAGCTCGAGGCTGCGTGGCGCATCTTTGACGATGTCCTGCACAAGCTCGATGATGGCGCCGTTGAGCCACTGCCGTACGTCTACGGCTCGCGCGGGCCCGACGCAGCCGACGACTTTGTCGCCGCGCGCGGCTACGTTCGCTCCGGCGACTATTCGTGGCAGGCGAGCAGCCAGCAGTCGCCGAGTAAGCTGTAGCCAACACACTTAACGATGCAGACTCCACGCAACAAATGCTGGGGATCACTGCGCCGTAGAACCCGGCCATGGCTCTACAGTTTGCCAGTCGAGCCCGTCGTCGCGCAGCAGCTCCCAGACACAGGCCGGGTGGGCATGTTGTGCGGGGAGCGCGGCGGCACAGAGCGGATCAAGGCCATACCGCTCCAGTGGCGGCAGAAGGGTGCTCGGCTCCGGCAGCGGATCGTACAAGCGGGGCAGCGGGCGCGGGGTGGTGGCGGTGGCGGCGGCGGTAAGGACAGCAGCGACGCAAGCCGAGGTGCGTGCGCTCTGCTCCTCGGCGTGCGCGTTTCGCAGCGCCACGATGTCGGCCGCCTGTGCCTCAAGCACGGTGGCACGGACGGCGGCCGAGCCGCCGCTGTCAAGCGCCGCGAGCTGAGACTCATGCTGGGCGCGGAGATCGGTGATGGCGGCCTCGTGCTCGGTAAGCAGCGCCCGGAGCTCGTCCTGAATCAGGGCCCGGCCGCTTGGCGCGGCCTGGGCAAGTGCCGACGTCGCTGCCACCAGCCGTGCAAAGGCGGTCGCTTCGGCTGCTTGGTACGTCAGGAGTGCCTGCGCCATGCGGAGATGTGCGGCGCGAAGGTCGCAGCGGGCATAGGCCTCGGCAGCAAGTTTGGCGTTCTCGTGGGTAAGCTCCGCCAGACGCGATCGCGACCACTCGCTCAGTGCAGAGTGGAGCGAAAGCCGGGCAGCAGCCTCGGGCGATGCTGCCGGCGCCGTGAGGCTCTCCAGCCACTCGGCATCGCCACCATCGCTGCCAGGTAGCGGCAGAGCATGCCCGGGCGGGTCGACACCAATGAGCTCGGCACGCGTGAGTGCGTGCGCGCAGGCAGCCTTCAGCTTGCTCCGCTGCGTCCCGTGCGCCGCCACAACCGACTCGAGATACTCGGGCATGGCCGCCAGCACCGGATCGCAGCCAAAGCTGGTCACCAAGCCCCGGGTGTACGGCGGGAGCAGCGCCGCGTTGGACCACACGTCCGGTGGCTCGACTGAGACCGGTTCGACCAGGATCCAGCCATCGTCAACACGCCGCATCTGCAGCCTGTCGCCATTGCGCCCGAGCTCAACGTCGACATCGTCCGCGTCGTCCGACTCGTAGCCGTAGCCAGAGCCAAGGCGACGCCACCACGGCGAGGGCGATGACTGCGGCGAGGCCATGGCCACGTCCGACGCCCAGAACTGGTCCAGCACCCGCTGCGATCGGAGCGCGATGCGGTCGGCGCCACCGGACACATCCATAAACGCCGCCCACCCGTCGTCATCGTCGTCTCCTTGGCCATCAAAGGAGCCCACTCGGTCGTCATCAAAGTCGTCCGTGTCGACCTTGTCGTCCATGGCCTCGGCGACAGTCCGGGCAAGCCGAGCCGGGTGGGCGAGGGTGGCGGACGGAGAGTACGCTGGTGACTGCCAGGGGCGTCTACGAGTCGGACTAGTGGTGGTGGTGGTGGTCGAGGGGTATATGCCCCAGCCCGGGCTGGGGCTGGCGTATGGGCTCCAGGTCATGGGTGGGGTCGGGACAGGTGGTGAGCCATGGGAGGTGGTTGGCGGTCGGCGGGCGGCGGTCGGCGGTCGGTCGGTGGTCCAACTCCATCTCGGTGGCTTGAAGGCTTGGGCAGACGATGAGACAGGCAGATCGCTGGATGCCAGCCACTGTAACGAGTGCTTATCTTTGTTGAGGGTGATCATGGTTCGAGTGAGCCGAGTTTGGTGCACAGATGCGTGCAGCGTGGCTACATGACTTGGCAATGGGGGCCCATGTCCCGGTGAGCAGCAGAGATCACCAAAATCCACGTGGCCAGCCCGACACCTGGCAAACGGGCCTTAGCTGGGAAAGGGTCATGGTCCACAATGCTAACCTCTCTCTGGTGGTCCGAAGGATGTGCGATGGTTCTGAGCAGCAACCAGGACAGAGGACGGCCTCTTAGGCTGTACCCCGTCCGTTGTCAACGCCTTTGTCAACGCCTCGATACGCTCGCTTACCCCCCTTTTTTTCGCCCCATCCCTCCTCCTTTCCCCCCCTCTTTCTAAACAAGACCTCCTCCTGCACCCAAGATCCGACGCAACCTTCTTTGGCCGGAGACACTCTATCGTACGGTTGGATAGCTAACAACCTGTACCCCTGCAGGGTGGCGGATCACCCCTACTCGGCCCGGCTCACGCCGGTCCGATCCATGTCTTGTTTTTACCCAAGGTCAGGCCTCTAGTCCAGGCGCATCATGCATGCGACGAGGCAGACAGGTCGGCTTGTGCCTAGTCGGGCCCGAAGAGTCCCTTCCTACGGTCGGGGGCTTCGTTCGACAGGGACACTCCAGTCTACATCATAGAATTGATATGCACTCACCGGCGCAAGTACAGCGATTCAGGTCCAGCTATAGCAGCTTCTTGCGCTTGGGTGGACTCGCGCTTGCCAGCGATGCGGAGGCGCCGCTGAGACTGGGGCGCTTGTTAGACCTGCGGGAGCCTGAGGAGCGGAGCTCGGAGACGATGACGTCCTGCGAGCACTCAAGAACGCGGTAGGCGACGGTTGCGCGGGAGGCGACGGCGTCCTTTGTGGCGGACGGGAGGGCAACGGTGTCGAGCGAGAGCGGCTCGATGGAGGAGCCCATGGCGGTCATCCACTTGGTGGCTGCGTCGACGACGGTGGTGTGGCCGTGCATGGCGACGTCGACGGCGGCCTCAAAGGTGAAGACCTTGTAGCCGTACGAGCCGCTGCGGACGCCGAGGAGCGCCTTGCGCTCGCGTTCGTAGTAGCAGGTGTACTTGAGGGTGAGGTGGATGGAGCCCTCCTCGATGCCGTCTGCAGTGATGGGCAGGTCGGTGTACTCAGCCACAATACCGTTGGACGAGTGGTTGGCGAGCGCATCGCGGAGCGAGACAGCGACAGTGCCGACAATCTTGTTCGAGAGCTTGCCAACCCGCTCGATCGAGATTTCCAGCCAGCGGTTGATGGCGGTGACCGAGAACGTCATCCGCTGGTTCCACTTGGGCAGCATGGTCTTCTCCGAGTTCTCCGACATGTGCGTCTCGTCAAAGTACACCCGGCCCTCTGCCGGAGGCGAGTTGACCGACTTGCCAAGCTTGAGCTTGAACATCTGGATCCTGACCCTATACACGCCCTCCTTCTACAACCTCCCCGTCCGACCAAACCAACAGCCCCGCGTCCATCCGCCCCCCCCCCCCCCCCCCCCCCCCCCACCGTCATCCGCCATCACCATCAGACCAACGCAGCATATTCCCGATCGTCCCCGGTTTGGCGCCCATTGTGCGACACGCGTGCCACCCACCATACCCCCCCCCCATTGAGGCCAAGGCCAAGGCCAAGACCAAGCCCCATACACCCCCCACAAAGCCCATAACCAGCCCATCATACCCACCGCATACCCCCCATCCCCATCCCCAACGTATTCCGCACCACATCCCATGAGTCCCCTCCCCCCCCCCCCCCCTCCCCGCCCCCCTGTCCCCCTTCCCTCCACCTCCACATACCATGACAGCCAGCTTGGCATTGGAGACAAAGATGGAGACATCACCGATCTGCAGATTGTCATGAGAGATGATGGCTGCCTTGCTACTCGAGGCCATGGCGGGTCCACAATCAAGTCAGGTGGTCAGTGCCGAGGAGCCAAGAAGAGCAGACCCCCGCCAAAGACCCGCCCTTGCCGCACGCCACACGCCCGCACGCCACACGCCCGCACGCCACATCTCGACACGCCACATCGCGCCATCACAACACGCTGCGAGTCCCGCACTATCATCGCATGCGATGGAAACCTCTTCTCGCCCCGCACGCCTCGCCTCGTTCATTGCAACGGCTGGAAGTGGAAAGGCCACGATTTCGACTCTCGCGCCGGCTGGCTACCGACGATGGTCGTGGAGCTCGCGGACCTTCTGTTCGTACCGCTGCTCGAGAGCGTACTTGAGCTTGCGAAGCTCCTGCTCGCGCTGCTGGTCGCGCTCGACAAGATCAGCCTCTGCCATGCGGAGGCGGGAGCGGACCTCGTCCTCGCGGACGCGGACATCTTCCTCGAGCTGCATCTCGCGGGCCTTGAGCGCGTTGTACTTGCGACCGTACTCTTCGTCCAAGCTCGCCTTGTACGCGCGCTGCTCGGCCTCGCGGGCTCGGTCGCGCTCCTTGAAGACCTCTGCAGCCTCGTCGAGCTCACGCTCACGGATGCGGAGGGCCTCGACGCGTGCGGCGTGGTCCGACTCGAGGCGGCGCTTGAGCTCGTGCAGCTCCTGCTCGCGCTCACGATCGCGTGAGAGAAGCTCGTCCTGCAGGGCCTGCTTCTGCCGCTCAAAATCAGCCTCCTTGGCCTTGAGCTCGCGCAGCTTGGCGCGATACTTGTTTTCCATCTCGGCATTGATCTCGGCGCGATACAGGTCGCGCTGCCGCTGAAGCTCGACCTCGCGGTTTTTGAGCTCGGCCACTGTCTCGCGGTACTGTGCGTCGACCCGCTCACGGTATGCCAGCTGCTCCGACTCGCGCTCGGCGTCCCGCCGCTGCAGCTCCTCCTTCATCCGCTCGATCTCCTCCTCCCTCCTCCGCACCTCGCCCATCTTGGTCGCATACGCCTCGTCCACCCGCGCCTTGTACTTTTCCACGTCCTCCTCACGGTCCCTGTCGCGCTCTTCAAACTCCTCGGTCATCTACCACCGCCAGGGAGAGGATGTCTAGCGATAAGTCGATCATCAAGCGCCCCCCCCCCCTCCCCTCCCCTCCCCTCCCCCTCCCTCTACGTACCCGGATAAACGTCTCCCACAGGGCGCGATCCCTCGAATGACGCATGTCTGCCAACTGGCTCTCCATCTGTCCTTGCCATCCATCGATGCCGTCAGTCCCGGGTCCCGTCAGTGTCCGTCAGCAAGCCGTTCCGCAGCCATAGCCAGCATCCATGCCCACCAGCACAGGCATGACCCAGACACCCTCCCCTTATCCGCATGAGTACCCACCCTTTTAGGACCCCTCCCCTCTTCTATCTACCTCCACCCACACCATCCATGACTGTGGCTGTACCCGTAGGTGTGTGTGCCTCCTCCCCTCCCTCCCTCCCCGCTCGGGTCACCCGCCCAATGACCGCCAACAGTCAACGGCCGTTGGCCACCAGCACCACCACCAGCACCAGCACCAGCACCACCAGCACCAGCACCACCACCAGTACCACCAGAGATACCACTGGTACCAATACCAGTACAATAGCCTCCCCTCTACCCTACATCTCTGCGCTGCGTACTGCTGAGACTCGCTGGAGATACTCTTCCTGTTCCCGCTCCCATCGCTGCTTGACGTCCATGCTTGCTTTGCTGCACACTGAACAGGAGACAGGAGTTGGTGACTGACCACCACTGATGACCACCATCACCACTGATCACCACCATTGATGACCGCCATCACCACTGACCACCACCACTGACCACTACCACTGACCACCACCATTGATGACCACCATTGATGACCACCACCACTGATGACCACCACTGATGACCACCACTGATGACCACCACCACCACCACTGATGACCACCATCACCACTGACCACCACCACTGATGACTACTGATGACCACCACTGATGACCACCATTGATGACCACCACTGATGACTACTGATGACCCACCATCACCACTGATCGA